TTTTAGTATGCTGGCTTTTCATATTAATAGTGACTTTTTTATATCAAAAATTTCATGAGCTCTCTTTGTGGGCATATATATTATATCTTTTACTTTTCTTCTAAAAGGGTATTTGGAGTAAATGAATCTCAGATCTTGTGGAAAGAGTTTGTAACATCGATAGCCTAAGTAAAGTATGCAACGGATCTTGGATTGGGTGGCAAGCTTCGTCAAAACTTTTACGCCATAGTTCAGGTGATATTCTAACAACGCATGTTGTTTTCAATTGGCAGTATTCCAGGGCATTTTTATAATCTTTATTTTATACAGAATTGATTGCAATGCAACGATCTTATGCGATACTTTTCTCAAACAATCTTTTTTGCTTATGTATAAACACGTGTCTGATCTAACAAGGGGATCTCGCTTCATTCGAATGGTTTAGACATGTCACAGGTACTCATAAATATTTGCCAAGGGGGGTGAGTTCAATATATCTGTAATACCGAGTGACGCACGTCAAGCAATAATAATAAAAAGTCCCCCTTCTTACCCCAGAAAACACGCAGAAATTAATATCAAGACTGCTGCTAACCCACCGCTGATCTCGTTTCACGACAGTTAACGGAAATTTATATACCTTCACCTTGAGCAAAAAAGGCGCATAATTTTTTTCGGATGCAGCCTCCCTGGACCTTTGTGCATTTCCGTATGAAAGCCTACACAGGGCCGTATTAGTACCAGAAACATGGAAAAAAATAATCTGAAGTGAATCATAGTCAGTTCTATCTATATGTCTGGCCACTAACGCCATAAATGCAGATATACCCTCACTCCCCACACCCGAGAAACCTTTCTCCCCAATTTCAAACTCCTAATTTTTTTTGACATGATCAGGAGCTTCTAAATAGTCAAAAGACGAATTATGCACGATTCTGACTGGCAGACAGGCCGACGAAATTGGATGGGAAAATTTCTGGCAAATTGTCGGAAAAAATACCACACTGGATACGCTTAGCAGGGAAGGGATTGAGCTGCTTCCATGCTGACCTCATGGACATCACAAACATTTCTGATTTATTAGACTTATGCTTAGAAATGTCGTCACTTGAATAGAGAATTGCTTTCCAATTTTGCAGTTACGTTTTACCGCTGCTCAGTATAACAGAAACTACGATCTTATTAACTTTCAAACAAGTAACACATTTAAAAAAGGAGACGGTAGTTTCTTCAAACGTTTCAATAAAAATACCATCAGAGTCAATAAGCCTTGATGTGCCCATACCTCGAACCCATCCAGCTCAAAAAAATGGTGCCCGTTAATACAACTTCTATTTTTCATGTAGTGCAATGACAATGACAGAAAATAGTGGCGTGGTTTTTCTTGATGGGCTTGTCACATAACATCCAGAAGACAATATCTCACTTAAAAAATGATCACCATCATTAACTTAATAGAATAAGTCACAGTCCTGTTCCTATTCCACAGTCTACGTCATTTTCGGACGATTTATACATATTCGTCATTTTGGCTTTTATTTAATATAAAAGGATTTTTTATCACTTATGTAGTTATTTTTGTCGAAAGAATACTTCCCTGAAGGTGCCAACGTGCAAAAAGATACCAGGCACCGAAGTGAAAATTTGGAAGCAACATGTTAAAATCTGCGACGGCTCGACTACCCAAAACTTCTCCAAAACCATCCATGTATAAATATCAAATAATTTGAATATATCCTTCTGATCTTCGGAATTTTCTACATATTGTTGAAATGACCAATTGTTGGTTTAATAAAGAATTAATAGAGTATCATTCTAGAATGAAAAATCGCCATCATCATGTTTCGATTCCAAAGTGAAAAATACCTTAGTTCGGTGCTGTAAAGGACCAGGTGAGGTGAGATCCTAACCTTCCTTGAGGGGGACCCAGACAATACTCGATCTAATTTTAAGTGATACAAAGCAAGTAAAAGGCATATGAATATTTTCTTGAAACCGATCGCACGGGATTCTCATGGAACACTGTAGCAACCAATCAAATGAGAGGGAGAAATTTTGGCGGGATTTCGGGGACCGATATGCAGGTATAATTGGTGAACTGGATCAGAAAATTTATCGAAGGTAATGGTTGTGATCTCATTGTAATAAAAATTTCGGGGCAGATTCCGTAATGGCTAAAAAGTATAATCAATTACATGCTTATCTACAAACGTAGTGGAAAGGATGGATGACAAAAGGATTCAAAGAAGGATATGTCAAGCGAAATGTCGTCTTCAATAGAAATTCATGTGATTAATGAATTTCAATGATACCAATCGTGATAAATATATAATGCTTTAGTAACATGCACAATAAAATGTTCGATCTCTTTAGCAGTTAGAAATGTGAATGTTGTTACATCTAAACTTTCTCACATCACCAGTTGACCAACTGGTCAAACCAGGAAAATTCCTAATACATAGTAAGAAGTTACATACTTGTTATATCCGCAAGACAGCACTGAACTCTGGTCATTCCATAGAGACTTTCAGAATACCTACGAATTTCGACTGCTTTTTATACGGTTACTTTATATGTTCCAAGGCCTATTCTAAGCGACTTCTTGCTGCGTACAGCACGTTTTAGTAGTTACTTTGTGTTTATTCCATGTTTATCTACACATGGCAGTTGTCCAACATACCCTTAGCGTTTGTTTAGATGGAAAAAATCTTTTAATACTGAAATGAGCTCTATCTTGAGATGAAACTTTGCGATTTGTCAAAACTATCAACAAACTGATAACCGTTAAAATTTAATCGGAAGTTTAGCAAGAATAATTTACAAGGTTCAAATCCTAGTATGCAAAACATTTGGTATTTTCACCAGGTTGAAGGAATACGTTTTGAGCACGTTTCGAACAATTTTTCTTATCAAATTTTTCTGCTTTAGATGGGAGCAGATACCTAATTTCCCATGCATTTTGATGATATACGAAACATCCCTCTATATATACGGGAGAGCATAACTATTATAGTTTTTTTCTTTCGGTGGTTTAAATGTAACTTTATATAACTTACCGGGATTAATTTTTCGTTAAATCAATTATAATAAGTTCTATATTTATTATTTTTGTTTGTTTTGTCAACGCTATGGACTATACCTGAGCGAAATAATGTCAAAAGTTCTTGGTGGTTCTATAATTGTGCTCTCCAGTTTATAAAAGATGGTAATGACCGACTAATGCATCAACGCAAAGCCGAAATCGCTCAACGTAGAAACTTGGAGGTTCTCTATAAAGCGTAAGTTAGCACCGAGAAGGAATTTTTGAAGAGCCATTTCCTAAGGGGTGAAATTGGCGGAGGAAGTGTGTCTGGAACCCTTTATTCTTCCAACTGATTCACCTGAATTTGTACAAGTACTCTAAAAAAATTTTATTCATCAGTTTTGGGAATGAATTATTGCCCAACAGTTAAGGAATTTTGAAACCTAGACAATAACAAACTTTCAGATATTATACGCTCAGGATATGCACCGTCAACTGTAAGATAAAAATTTTAGAAACTTTCTCTGAACATGCTCAAGAGAATCAATGCCAGTTGTAAATTGGGTTCCAAATTAACGTTGCATATCCCAACTTCGATCTAATATATGCAGAATACAAAACCAGGAGTGGCTCTGGGCGGCATAGTCATCATTCATAAAAACGATTTTATTTAATGATAAGGTGGGAAAACTCTTGTAGTTATCGAAGTGGAAGTGAGTTTTCTCACATTGTGTTATATGTAGTCTGTATGTCGCTCTGTCCGCAAATTTTTGGTCTGTCTAAGACTTTTTAGAAAGTACTGCTCAGATTTAGATGACATTTTCACACTAGGCTACTACTACCAAGGACGAAAATATTTTGAAAACGAAAAAATAAAAATTGTTTTTTGACGTTTCCGATGCTCTTTATCGTTTTCGGAAAAAATTGTAGGAGTTAAAAATTGGGGGTTGGGCTTGTAGAGGATGGAGGAAGATATCTCAAGTTTTTTGTCGGTAGTATAACATTCATTTCCAACCCCGCTAGTTCTGTGCACCTATTAGTACATAAATCGTACACGATATATTTCCCCGTAAATGTTGGTTTGCACTTGCACGTACGCTACGAACTAACCCCGGCGCCCACAAAATCCTGTCACGCCACACTGCGTGAACTGGCCAGCAAAGCAGCTAACATTGGTCGGTACTTTCAGTAGGGGCAGGGAAGAGGTTTCTAAGTCGTAGCGATACCAAAGGGGGGCTGTGGACCAATTGTATGGGCCTGTTTGGCTCACTTGATCCGTTTAACTCTTTTTTGTGCTCTGGCGAATTCTGACTTAGAAGTTGAGTATCATTGTCGATAATCATGATTATAGATTGGTAATGGGACATTTCAAAATCTCACTTCTTGCTAAGATAAGGGTATTACCTGATTTATGTTTTCTTCAGAATCTTGAAAATCAATATAAATGTACCGATAAGAGTGAATCTTAGACACTGTACATACTTCAATATTCTGCTTTGTAGAGCTGGTATTGGTTTAAACTATCCACTGGTACGAATGCTGAGAAATCCGAGCAACTATGGTGAATTGGCTGATATTTTTGCTTGTGAAATGTTAAAGTTTAAATACTTGATAAAAAACGGAATATTGGTCACTCCCTACGTTCCCATTCTTTTTTTTATGTTTCTCGTTACTGAATTGAATATTATAACATTGTACTTTCATATATGTAGAATATAAATAACAATGCTTATAACTTTGTTATATAAATAAATACAAGTTCGCAGTTAACTTTTTTCTTGTAATAATAATAGCTTATAAGCTGATAAGAACTTTGCGTGGGAAGTTAACAGTCAACTCACTTGAGGCCACTTTTTTACGATGAAACAGAAATCAACGTAAATGAAGCCGCGAGCAGAAAGCTAGTATTCTCATATAATTATTGTCAAGATCAAACTAAACAGCATGTCTGCCACCTTTACCAAACCTTTAGTGAATCACTCATTATCAGAAAACTTACCCAGTCATTTCACGGACTGTCTATCCGACACCATTAATAACCAAACTGAATCCCAAACTGGCATTAATAGCCCAATGTTATGCAAATAGGTCCAGATTTAAGGTAGCTTACGCCCCCTCCTGATGGGACCCGCCCATGATTTTCAAATTCTTGGCTGGTATTGTTCGGTAATATGTAAATCACCCCGTCGCGCACCTAGAGTTGCATAATTAGGGGGTGAGACAGAGACAATATGCATGCCAGCGACTAGCTTGCGACCGTAACGAAAAGTCATGAATGATAATGAATAGAGGGTTGAGAGACAATATATTGTTTTCTGTGTACTTTTTTTTTGTGAACTGAGTTTAATGCCTACTACTCCTTTTGGGGGTCCGCTTCACATTTTCGAGACAGAAAAGTGGCAGTATTATGAGAAAGAAAGCGGCTTTGTATCGCATAATACGTAAGAGTCACCGATAAATTGTCCTCTTCTAAACCATGTCAAGTATGAGGAGTGTAGTCGAGGCTGCAGTTTCTCAAATATAAGAGCATTATTTCAAGCCGATCATATCCAAATATAAGAGCATTATTTTAATCACATATCCAAACTGTTTATGATTATTATTTTATAACGATTTTTCCAGCAACTGTGACAATTAACTATATACTAGTCTGAATCGTTCACTTCTTGGTAAGAAAGCTAGGTTATTAGTTTAGGGCTAAGAAGTACTCTTCTCCACATAACCTCCTCACTCTGTACAAGGTCCAGATATTTAGGTTTCTGCTTACGCGGTTGCTACACTATAAAAGAGGAATCCTTAAAAGTATTGAATTGCACCATATTGATGCATCTTCGGATATTAGAAACTGCAAATCTTAAGCCTGAACCGTAGCTGCTGTCAGCATAATTCACTTCAATTTATCCAGAGATTGGTTAGCCACTGATAATGTCCGCACGGAAAGTGCTGTCATTTGTGAAATTATGGACCGTTTTGGAGTGGTCGTTAAAGTAAGTGAGAAATCAGAGTCGATCCCTGTGGAGCACCGCCGGCAAACGCAAGTTCGCTACCGCAAATGTAAAGCAGACTTGGCTTCAATACTGAAATCCGGTATGAGACTACGAATCCTGAATACTGTATTTTGGATTGTGGTCGAATACTCAAGATGCGAATACATAGAAGAAAGTATTTGAATACCGCTGTTTTGGATACCTGGATTCATTTAAACATTAGTACTTTTTGAATGTTCCAACTAAAAAAAGACATAATCGCACTTTAAACTTGATTTTTATATAATTATTAAGTTATAAAAATATGGGGTTGTCCAAAACGGACGCAGGAAAGTAAACGCATATTAAAACAAGAAAGATTGATATTCAAATCAAGTTGGGTACTTTATTTTGAAGGTTCATTTATACCATTTATGTATGAAAAATAATATCGCTCAAATGTTCACCACGACTGGATTTACAGACGTCCACGCGATAGTCGAAATTTTCAATGACATTTTGCAACATGGTCGGTTCTATGGCATTTATCTCGGCAATGATGTTGTTTTTGGAGGGTGGCTGGTTTGTTGTCGTAGACTTTGCTTTTCAAATATCCCCATAAAAAGAAGTCCAAGGGAGTCAAATCGCACGATCTTGGTGGCCATGGCACATTTCCTCTGCGCGAAATCACGCGATCACCGAAGAAGGACTGCAATCGATGGATATTGACGTTGGTTGTGTGGCATGTTGCACCGTCTTGTTGGAAATAAACATCATCCATATCCATTCCTTCAAGTTGCGGCAAAAAATAGTCCTCTATCATCACGAGATATTGCTCAGAATTGACGGTAACGGCGTCCCCGGCCGCATTTTCGAAAAAGTAAGGTTCGATGATGCCTTTTGACCACAATGCACACCACACAGTCACTTTTTGAGGATGCATCGGCTGTTCTTGATACTCACGGGGATTTTCGTTCGCGCAGATGCGGCAGTTTTGCTTGTTTACCGTCCCATTCAAAGTGAAATGCGCTTCGTCGCTGAACATGATTTTTGATGAAAAATTGGCATCAATTTGGCGGTGTTCAAGGAGCCAATCTGAGAACGTTCGGCGCGAAAAATGGTCGGTACCGACGCAGCTCTTGCGTCAAGTGGATCTTGTAGGCGTGTACATTCAAATCCTTGTGGAGAATGCGGAGCAAACTGGTTCTCGAAATGCCCAATTCTTGGGATCGACGCGTTGTTGATTGTTTCGGATCGTCTCTCACACTCTCCTTCACAACAGCAATATTTTCCGGTGTGCGAACGCTCCTTGGCCGGCCAGAGCCTGGCAGATTTGCCACAGAACCTGTTGCCTCGAATTTACGCACCAGATGACCGATGGTTGTTTCGTTTGGGCGGTTGTTGCGACCGAAATGTTCACGAAGCGCGCGAAACGCGTTTTTTATTTTTGCACCATTTTTGTAGTGCTCTTGAATAACTTTAATGCGGTCTTCAATCGAATACGACTCCATAGCGATCAATGGTAAACATTCAACTAACAAAATGAAATGTCGGTGACAGAAAACAAAGATGGCGTCTATGTCAAATTGACGTTTACTTTCCTGCGTCCCTATTGGACTTTATATATAAAAACGAAAAATACATGACTATCTTAGATAAAAAAATCAAATAACTGATGCACAATGTCACAGTGTCGTTAGAAAAATTCATTGTATAATAAAAAAACATTTTTTGACCTTCGCTAGGTTTTTATATACGATAGAATAAAACTGGATTAGAAAATATACATAATTAAAAGAAAAATTAGATTTTTTGTATATCATCTACATTATCTGGTATCACATACAAATTATAACAGATATTAAAATTTATTATAAACTAGAATGGCAGTACCTACTGCATATGCACAAGTGCATACGTAATCTAATTCTGCATTTCCAGACCCATGTTTAGATAAACTTTTTTGCATATTTTTTAACAAGGAATCATCCTCTAAAATATCTCCGTCTATTTTTCGAACACCCTGTATAGACAGTCCAACAATCCTCTGTTCTTCAGTTTCAATGAAATTCCGTCATTCCACGTCTTTTTGTTCTCCTTCTAGTTCTGTTCTTCATAATTTTAGCCTCCCATATTTTTTTGACTGGTCTAGTTTCTTCCATGCGGATTAGATGCTCAACCCATTTCAACTGGTTTTCCTCAATTTTTTCGAAGACAGATATAACCCCTAATCTCGTTTCTGATTTTGGCTCTCCTAGTCACTCCTTTTACTGCTCTCAAGTATTTCATATCTATTGCTTGTATACTAAGTGACATATAAATCCGAACACCCAGTTTAAATGGTTTTATTTTAATAACAGTTGGTGAATGTATTTATCTTACTGTAAATAAGAAGTGAAAAAATGTTCAGCCTTATCAGTTGGACATTCCGGTTTTTATACTGCTTTTTTTTAATTCACTAACGCTCTAAAAATGAATATTTCAGCCGCAGTAAAGAATCAACGTTGGCGGATTTTGGTTCTTGACATCCTTTACGATCGGTTACGATGCCTAGAGTACGGAGACCTGTACGATTTCGGCAACTTAGTGAGTTTGATAGGGGCCGTATAGTGGGACTTCGGGAAGCTGGACTTTCTTTTCGGGAAATTGCAGTTAGAGTGCAAAGAAGTGTAGACACTGTTGTTAGGTGTTGTCAGGCATGGCTTCGAGAAGGCCGTACGCAAAGAGCAAGGGGCACTGGACGCCGCCGTAGAACAACAGACCGTGAAGATCGCCGCCTAAGATTATTGGCCTTAAAGGACCGTTTCTCCACTACCAGGTCCATTGCAAATGAATGGTTTGCAGAACACGGAAGTGTTTACCGACGAATGGGAAGTTTTGGCTTGTTCTCATACCGGCCACACTGGGTCCTCCTTTTAACTCGAGAACACCGACGTAATCGCCTTGAGTGGTGCAGACAACGGTCACTCTGGGATCAGGAATGGAACAGTATTGTCTCTAGTGACGAGTCTCGATTTTGTTTAGGCATGCACCATGGTCGTGCCAGGGTTATAAGGCGACATGGTGAAAGCAGGAATCCACAGTTTTTTGTTGAAGGACATGTTCATCACACTGTTGGAGTTATGGTTTGGGGTGCTATAGCTTATGGTTCCAGGTCACCTTTAATCTTCATCAGAGGTAACATGAATGGGCAGCGTTATATCCACGAAGTTCTAGAACCCCATCTTTTACCCTATCTTGACACCCTGGCAGATCCAACTTTCCAACAAGATAATGCCCGACCACATGTTGCAAGAGTCACAATAGACTTCTTTCAACATAATCATGTCACATTGTTACCATGGCCACCAAGATCTCCCGACTTATCCCCAATTGAGCACGTGTAGGATATGATGGGTAGAAGATTGCTCAATTTGCAACGTCCTCCTCAGACTCTAGAAGCGCTTCGAGAAGAGTTGGTGGTTGCTTGGAACGAGATACCACAGGAGGACATTGCCCACCTGATCAGAAGCATGCCAGGGTGCATCCACACATTATTAAAGGTCAAAGGGCTTTAAAGCAGTGCAATCATTTTGAAATTTTTATCATTTACTTATTATGCTTCATTAAGTACTTATGCAAAATTTTATTAAAATAAAACCATTTAAACTGGGTGTTCGGATTTATATGTCACTTAGTATATTTTGCTTGTTTGTCTGTTGTTTAATGCCCAGCTTTCGCTTCCACAAGTCAGGATAGATCTGAAAATGGTTTTATATAACGTCATTGTGGTCTTTCTGCTTATTTCTTTTCTCGATATGTTTTTATGGTATGATACAGGTTCGAGGCTTTTAGTAATATTTCTTTCATTTCTTCGTCCATGGTTCCGTCTTCCTGTATTTGTATTCCCAAGTATTCGAAAGCCTGTACTTGATCTATATGTCTTCCTTCCGAGATTTTTTTAAGTTCTTTCCCTTGTCTAGTAGTCAGGACTTTTGTTTTAGAAATGTTAATATTCATATTTCTCTTTAATAGCTCTTCACTCTAGATGTTAAGGTTATCTTGTAAATATTTTGGGATGCTGGCACATAATAGCAAATCATCCGCAAAGGCAAATTCTGCTAAGCATAGAGTTCTCATTTTATAAAACCCTACAAGAACTTTTCTTGTTTTACTCTTTAGGGCCTTGATTAGATCGTCCATGACTATGATAAATAGTGTAGGGCTAAGCACGCCTCCTTGCTTCAGTCCGCCGCTTATTTTGAATTTTGCGGAGATCATGTTATCCTTTCGGACGTAACAATTGTTCATGCACGCTTTGAATACAGTCTATTAGGTGGCTGTCTATGTTTCTTTTGTGCAGGCTTTCCCAAAAAACGCCCCTTGGCATGCTATCGAATGCCTTTTTGAGATCTAAAAACGCAAAATATAGTTCGGTGTTCTTCAACCTGCTTTTCTCAATGAGCTGTTTAATAGTAAATATGTGGTCCTGAATAATGTGACCCTTTCTAAAACCACTTTGCGCCTCGTCTAGATTGTCTTCAATATACTCTCTCAGCTTTCTGTCTAGTATTCTTTCATATACTTTACATGGAATGCTCAATACTGTAATACCCCTGTAATTGTTGCAGTCTGTGGTGTCACCTTTCTTAATTATTGCGATTATTATTCTCTCCCTCCAGTCATCAGGTACCTGCTTTTCTTCTCATGCTTTATTCAGTCATGTTGAGAACATTTCCATATATTCGGCATTCATATTTTGTAGCATCTCCGCTGTAATTCCATCATGTCCGGCTGATTTTCCCCTTTTCAGCATGTTAACTCTTTTTATAAGACTTCCGTTGTTGGTAAATATTACATATAAGATTATAAATTCACCACATTTCAACATATAGTCAACGCCAAACAAAGTGGCGTGCACGTCATCAAGGTGGGTGTGTTGAAAAATTTACATTGTTGCCAAACTTTTTGTAAAATAATAAAATTTATTATTTACATATCTAGGTTTATAAGCAATATTAACCTCAAATGAGAACAAAAATAATAGTATAATAAAATTATAGATCTGTACTTGCATAATCATTAAGTATGACAATTATTGATCAGATGACACTATGAAACTACCATATTTATCTGATAGCTTAAAGGTACTGAATAAAAATCCAAATGGGGTCCTCCAAATTTTATGCATGGTATTTATTAAACAGAATTCATACAGAAAAATGCATTCTAAAATTAGGTAAGCTACTGGTGTAAGCTTTTTCTGTACAATAAAGTTAGCCGGAGTTTCTTTCTTCAGCGCTGTCTGAATCTGAATCTTCATCACTCTCAAAGTTGATTATTAAAGGTTCGATGTCTGGTCGATCAAAAATCCGTTCTCTTTCATACCATTTAAAAATTTCTTGCTCAGTATGTCGAACACTATTTTTCCACATGTCTGGGGTAACCGTTTGTAGAGCCTCGTTCCACATATCCAAACAGTCTTTTTCACTGTTACCATCTCTACCAATATGTCTGTTATAGTAACCTTTTGCTAGGCCCCAAATTAACTCAATAGGGTTAAATATACAATGGTAAGGAGGCAGACGAAGAACTTTGTGCCCATGTTGTTCCGCCAATTCATCAATCACGTATATTTTAGGTGGTTTGTTTCTAAAAAAGCAGTTATTTTAAGAATAGGAATAAACAAAAGAAATATAAACTGTCGACCAAAATATATATAATTAAGAAGCATTATGTACCGAGCAACAATACTCAATAGCTCTGTTTTAAACACTGTGTTTAAAAATGGTATGTTTTGATTTGTCAACCAGTCTTGGATATTTTTTTTGTCCATGCATTGTTGGGCACTTTGTTCAATATCATGCTGTGATAAGGGGCGTTATCCAGTATAATCATAGATGGACTCTCCAATTTTTCTAATAACTGATGTTGAAACCATTTCAAAAAATTGTCCTGGTTCATCTCTCCATGGTAATCGCTCAATTTTGTTTTCGAAGAAAATATCGCTTCACTACCCTCAATAAACCCATTTTCATTTCCAGCATGTAATATAATGTATCTAAAATATATTAGTTTTAAATTTTATAGTGCAAATTGTGTAAAAGTACATACCTTTTACCATCTGTTTTAATAGCTTTCACGCTTTTTTGGTTTCCATTTTGCCAAGAGCGACCTATGGTCCCATTTTGAAATATTCAAGTTTCATCGAGGAAGACAAACTGGTATAAGGCCTCAACCTTGGCTTGATTGTATTGCCTTAGAAATTCCACCCTTTTCTTAGGTAGTTCTCTTGGTAGTTCCATGAGCCCTCGTCGCGGATTGTCCTTAAGCCACTTAAATCCAAGATCTCTAAGCAACCGCCTTAAAGACGTGGCACTACCATCAAATAATGCCCTATCTCTTAATCGAGACCATAAAGTTTGTATCGTAACTTGTTCTTCTGAAACCATGTGTAATATGACATTATAATTTAGTTAACAAATTAATGCAAATTTCTGATAAGTTATTATAATAAGATCTTATGGTACCCATTCACGTACAGGCGGACTGCAGTCCCGAACTGTGAACGATCTGGCCGTCAGTCCAAATTTCAGCATACACGTACAGGTGGCCGGCAGGTCTGTGCCTGCAGTTTACAAAGATTGCACAAAGTGTGTACGTGTGTGGTGGTTAATCGTCAGTCCGGGTCGTACGATAGCGACTTTCATTGTATTTAAAAATTGTGTACACAGTTTTGGTAAAAAATGTCTGATGTGACGTTAAATCAGCCATCGTTTGTTACTGGTTTTATTGATATTTATCGACAGTTACCAAGTTTATGGAATATTAAGTCAAAACAGTATTCAAATCGAAAAGAAAAGGCAAAGGCGTATGAGAAACTTATAAGTTATTGCAAAACCGTAGACAAAAATGCTTCGATGGATATGGTAAAAAAGAAAATTAATAATATTAGAAGTGCCTTTCGAAAGGAGCACAAAAAAGTTCTAAAATCAAAAAGAAGTGGATCATCTACAGAAGAGCTGTATGAGCCAACTCTTTGGTATTATAAATTACTGCTTTTTACGGCTTCGCAGGAAGAACCTAGGATGTCAGTTTCAAATGATGATGAGTCGGAGTCGGAGGGTGACGATGCCAATAATGAGGTAAGGAAATTTTTTGCAAATAAAAAAATCAAATAAAATCTTTTTATTTCTTGTCTAAAATAAATTCTTTAATTCTACAAAATTATCAAGTAAGATACATATTATAATAGGTACATTGATTAAATAAAATTTTCTTGCCAGGAAACTTTTCCAACAGTATTAAAGAAATTTTTATAATTCACTCTATTTTCTTTGGCTTCACGTGAAGCATTACGACCATATCCTGGTTGTAAATTATCTAATGGTCTTTCTGCTCTCCAGTCTCCCCTTATTATATCCCCTGTGTCAATAATTTCGGTGTCAACATCATTTCTCGTTATATATGAAGTTTTAGAACGTCTCAAAAAATTATGCAACGCGCAAGCTGCTAGTACAATTTTGTCAATTTTGTCAGGTTGCATATTAATTGGAGTATGGAATACTCGAAAGCGATTAGCTAATATACCGAACGCGTTCTCAACCGTGCGGCGCACACGGCTAAGTCTATAATTGAAAATAGATTCTTCTTTTGTTAAATTGTTTCCCGGGAAAGGTTTTAAAATATTTTCATGTAATGCAAACGCATCATCTGCCACAAAAACGAAATTTAAATTATGCTTTGTTACGTCATTAGAAGGCAAATTTAGCTTTTTTTCTATAAGTTTATCGTAAAATTTTGTATATTCTAAGACCCCTCCATCAGAAACTCGCCCATTACAGCCTACATTAACATATATGAATTCGTAATCAGCATTAACAAGGGCCATGAGAACTATACTGTGATAGTCTTTGTAGTTAAAAAAATATGACCCGCTGTTGGCTGGTTTAACAATTCGCAGATGTTTACCATCAATAGATCCTCCACAATTAGGAAAGTTCCATCTGGTTTCAATATTATAAGCTATTTCTTGCCACTCCTCTGATGTTTTTGGAAACTGTAAAAAAAATTATAATATACATTTTGTATTTTGTACTTTCAGGAAGATGTCACCCAGCATGATACTCAATTTTCACCGCTTACTGAAGATGCGTTGCAAGCACCGTCTGAAATATATCAGCTATCACCACCACAAACACCGCATCAGTCATCAACCTATTCACGTCCATCAACTTCCAGATCTTCTAATAGTGCAAAAAGAAAGAAGTATGGACAGGAAGAAAGTATCCAAAGGATTTGCGCTAAGTTGGACAGAGAAAATGATGAATGTGACAGTATTGGAGAAAATGTGGCCCATAAACTGCGCCGAATGGACAGCGACCAGAAAATGTATGCTGAATTATTACTTCACCGTCTTCTCTTCCTTGGTGTTCAAAAGAAATTATGCGAGGAATCTCATATATGTATAAATTCGGCACATAGCGTTTCATCTCATTATAATACTATGTTGCCAATGCAACTTCAATACAATCAACAGCCACAACCTTTAACTCCTTCTCCTTTCCAACCCATATTAACAAATCAGCAACAACAAACTTTCACTTCTTCGCAACACACATCAACTTACAATCAGCAACAAAATGTCACTCTTTCCCGACCCTCAGCAACTATTTCTGAAACACAGTACACAAATGCAGAAGGAGAAAACCTCGACATAAATATAAACTATATAAGACCTCTTGATAAAACTACCCCTGAAACAATGGAGGAAAGCGGCAACACGTCGAAACTTAAAGGATCTTTAACTGAATTGCTGGTTTTTAATCGATGAATTTACGAAACTTCAATGACTACATACTTAAAGTTTTGTTTTTACTTGTCGACTTGTTCATTATTACCTATTGTCTATGTTTTTGACAATAGAAATCAAAAGTTTATTTAAAATTCGTTTCTATAACACAAGTTGTTCACCTTTAAGTTTTTATGTAAGGATACATTTTTCAATAAAATACGTAGTTGAAATATTATTTTGAAATTTTACTAAAACATAAAAAATTACTTCAAATTACGACAAAAGCGAAAATTTTGGAATGCAAGCATAAAATACATAATTTTTAATAAGAATATTAGCGAGGTATTTAGGTTAAAAAATAAATACCTAGGTACTTTTATAAATGTACGCTTCTAAAAATTTTGGCTTTCAATCTCCTTCAACTATTCCATTTCTTTCTAAAATATTATGCACTGTATTCCAAAATTTTATGAACTTACCTTCATATATTCCTTTTTCAACGCCTTGTAAATCCATTCGCAGGTTTCTGGTATAATTTTTCCTAGTGCTTGGGGAGAAATAATGGCAGAAAATTTCAAATCCTCAAATGTACGTCCAGTTGCCAGATACCGCAAAGTCACTATTAACCTTTCTTCAGCACTAATGGCTTTTCTCATTACTGTATTCTGTCGTTTTATGTGGGGTTTAACTAAAGTTAATAATTTTCTGAAAGAAGCCTCGTCCATCCTAAGATAATTTTTAAAATCTTCGCTGCTGGAATCTTTCAATCGCTTCAGGAGTTTCATATGAGATAAATTTTCACGATCTCTTAACCATTCCTTCACCCAAAAACGTTTGCCATTTTTTCCGCGTTCATTAGTTAATAGCAAAATCAAAAGTAACAAAATAAGTTTCTTTTTTCTTAACATTTTACCACTGCTTTATTGTTCTTTTGTCTACACACTACAAGCAAGAACTGCGAAACTTTTGCGACGGACTGTGGATGTATGGCAAATAATGAGGCGACCTGCAGTTCTAGGACTGTCAGGCGATGGCCTGCAGGCCGCATCGTTTGTATACAACTGAACGTGTATGGTCTATATCGCAGGCCACGACTGCAGGTCAAATTTCAGTCCATTGCCTGCAGTCCGCCTGTACGTGAATGGGTACCATTACTTTTGTGATACATATTATAGATCACTTCTCGAATGGCACTTGTATCCAATGTCGCTGTGTTGGTTACACGTTTAATATAACTCCGCTTTTTCTTGGGCGATTCTAAATTTGCATCACTTTTCACACTCTCGGAAATACGACTAACTGTCCTTCAACTAATTTTTAAAGCAGCAGCAACACGCTACAAAAAATGAAATAAAATTTCACTATTATTAATATACATTACATATAATTATTAGTAACCTACCTCTTGAACAGCATTTAAAGGCAACAAAGGCCCGTTGTTGTCCCTTTCTTGCTCAAAGTAGTGCATTAACGAGGCCACGAGTTCCTTACACCGACTATTTAACTGTTTGGGCATCTTTATATACCAAAATTGCCTTTATCTACTCGTAAAATGAATAATTTTGTTTTGAAACAAACAGTTGTTGATTTACAGTATGCGGGGCCAAAGGATTTATAAAGATTTGAAATGCCACAAATTGATTCAGTGTCAAAATTAATACAAATGTCAGTTCCCAGTTTAAATAAGTTTCAAGGTGACAATGTGTCAACGCTGCGAAATCGGTTTAGTGCGTTTACATGTCGATAAGTGATTGGAGCGTTTGCAAAACATTTTATTTCGCATAATGCGTCTAAATTTATCAGAAAGCAACTTATGTGATATTTTAATAACAATGTTTATATGACTATTAACCATAATAAGAGAGTAATGACCATTTTACAATTTATATATCACATTAATATGAAACTGCAATAGAGCAATTGTTTGTGATAGAAACCTAGGCATTAGGTCGGGGAATTTTTATCGTGATGACGTGCACGCCACTTTGTTTGGCGTTGACTATACTTGATCCTCTTTGTAGGTTGCCATTTTAAAGGTGTAAACATAACGCTGGTGACATTAAAAAATCGCATTGAAACACATTTTCTTTTTTCCGGTTGACACCCTTCACCGCTAATGACACATCGAATGACACGTCAAAAGCTGTGCAAATGCCGCAAGGGTGCGGGTCGACTGATGTGTATTAAATGGACATTAAAACGCACTCGAGGATTCTCTTTATGCCTGTGCACGACATCCGATACAATAGCGCTTTATTTTTAACTCTCGATTACCTCTTTGGTTATTGTTAAGTGGGAGCCATTATTATCGTCAGGATGGGTGGACAGTTACAGTTTTTTGTTTTCAGCGCCAACTCGTGACTTTGCTCGGCTTTTTATGAATAGAGCTGGAGTGGGACGCGGTTCGCTGGCAAAAATGTTGAATAAAAAATGATGCTGTTATTCATTTGCGTTCATGGAGAAAAAATGGGCTTTACTAGTTGATAACAGCCAGCGTATTGAATTCTTTATGTATTTTTGCATGGCATATGGTGGTGCGTATATTGATACCATAGACCGGGAGCTAGTCACAGGGCAAGCAGTTGGGACATGTACAGGTAAAACCAAATGTATCTGACCGCTTGGGTCAAAGTGTACGAGAGAGAGGCGCGAGGAGTGTGTATCAACACATGTTAGAAAGAGATAGAAGCCGGTTGAATAGCGAAGGTAATCACCACATTGCCTAGCAACGGTGACGCAGAGGGTCGCGCAATCTGCCGCGCTGTCAAGAAGTTACATCAGGAAATGTTTGCACAAGCTTCTACAATAGGTTAGGTTACTGTCAAATCCAAGAAGGAGGCTTCGTCGAACATTTCATTTAATATTTTGTTTTCATTTTGATTAGAATTATTTATTTCAACTTTGATGCGACTTAGTGTTTTAATTCATTTTAGAATTATCGTTGATTTCCACCGATGGTGATAAAATCAACACATCCTGAGTTATTGTTACATTTTGCGACAGCGAGTGGTCAGAAAATGTAACAAATACCATTATGCAATACAAATTATCACTGCCTGCGGGTACGCAGGTGAAAATCATTTTAAATAATCAGGGCAACACTCCCCAATGAGCGCTAGATGGGGTACCTATGAAGCAATGTTTCAGAATTTGTAGTGATCCTGACCTTTAATTTCGACCTAAAATGAAGCGCTGTCAGGACCGATTCGGAATCGATCCTAAACAAATTCAACACTATTCACAATTCAAAAATGTGTGGGCTCAAAATTAAACCATTGTTTGGGCGTAGAGAATAAACTAACGCAAATTTTCAACATTCATCTTAATTCAAGGTGTAACATAGGTACTGACAACTCGGCAGATTGCCCCGTCGGCTTTGCTAGGCAACGCGGTGATGAGCTTCGCTAACCCGCCTGCATCTATCTCTTTCTAATATATATATGTCAATACACACTGCTGTCTCGTACACATTGAAATCAAGCCGTCAGACAATTTTTTTTTAATGTATGTAAAGAAACTTTGGTGCAAAAATATTTTTATCTTGATCTACTAATATTGGATATAATATAATCGATTCTTAAATAAGCCTAGAACATACAGACCCATGAATCAATACAGAGTATGTTAGAGCAACATATAGATTTGGAAAGAGTTAGAACTTATGATCCCCAAATTTGTTTTGGATACACTTAAAACATATAATATCCTCCGACAATTATTTGAGTACACTTAAGGATACTAAAAACATTAAAAATCTTGAGAAATCGCCGTTTTCTTATTCACAGGTTATTTAAAAAAATGTATATGTCCACAGCATGAATCTCCTCGAATTTTATCAACGTCTAATCAGCTCTAACTGAGATTATTAGTTACAGAAAACAATTTCGAATGTATTCATATAGAATCAGAAAAACATATTATCTGACGAACGATGAACTATAAATACAGTACTTCTTCTGCTGAGGCGTAGGAGGTGATAATGATGTCAAGAAGGTTGACTCCATAGCTCCCACTCCTTCATTTGCATGTACTTTGTAGTGCAAGAAACGGCGGGTGTTTTTAAACTTTAAAAGCGATCCCCTTGGAAAAATGTGACTGCACTTTACAGTGAAAACTGAGGCAACTCCAGAAAATGTTCGACTACATCCTGAAAATATAAGGAAGATTTGACACTGCCACTGTATGACTTGCATATCCTTCCTCAAATTTCCTGCAAATCGGTGTACCCATTTTTCAGAGGTTAACCGACGGACTTGAGTGACATAGATTTTTTTATTTATATTTTGAGGAACATAATGAACATGCAAACTGAAACCGAAACAATGGAGATTACAACACCTCCCTCGTTTGAGGGTGAGAAGAAAAAATGAAATTAAGCTGACCCCCTGTAGGGAGAAATCTCTCAATTCCTAACAAAATGCGAATTATTGTGAGCTCCCCACCAAAAAGTAATTCCACACTATATCAGTAATTGACCAAATCAAAATACTTCACAAATGACCCATTGAAACGCAATCATGACTCCGCGGTAGGGTTCCACACCCCCTTTAATGCATTCCGAATACGGGTAACTGACAATCACATTTGTGTCGCGTTTAACCCCCTTTGTAGTAAAAAAAACAACAGGAACTTGAAAGCGGTGTCGACGGCCATTTGTTATTCTTTGCACTAAACCGTTTTAATCACGGTGGCATATGGGTTCAAGTACCCGGAACTATCTGCTCTATGATTTTTCTGTAGGTAAAGGTGTCCGGTCGGTAATATGCTAATTCGCCGGTAGCCCGACCAGTCTATCTCTAATTAGTTAAGGTGTGCACAAAAAGTGGCGGCTGTTCACTTTGTTTTGTTTGCGTTTTGATGGAATCTCACACTCCAGTAAGCTTAGTCCTTAAGACTACCATAGAGAAAGACAGAGAGTACGGAAGAATTGTAACCATGAAAAGCGGTATTGATACTTTTTATATATACTTTTCTATATGACCTAGAAGAAAAAGTAGTAAACAGGGTGATTCACAAGTCGTGACCTTTAAAAATAAAAAACAATTATTTTAATATCTTCAAAACCGTCAACTGTTTGTTTATTTAATACTCTATACCAGATTGTATAGGAGCAGCTAGATGCAATTTAACTTAACACAGAAAATTAAACTTTTTGGCCAAAGTAATGAAAATAAATTTTCCTTGAAAAAAAAATTTGGAAAAATGCAACAATAATTTTTATATACAGCTTTTTCTCCTGGAAGGTCATATAAAAAAGTTAGAGGGCGTCGATTTATATTTGGACAGTACTTATTCCAGAAAAGGCCAGTGGCGTAGAAAATATCTACTATCAGGGGTCCAGGTACCTGGTTCAGTCTGGGCCGGGAAACTCTGTGTGTTTATATTACTGAAAATGTGTTCACTAAGGCCCGTATTGTCAGTCGTCCCTACAATTGTAGTGCGCGTTTATGGCCTCCTTGATTGTCATAGTTTTCTACTTCTCCGTATCAGCGCTCTATTTTGAGGTTATGTCACAAACATCTATTTGCATCAAATTGTGCTTGCTTTTGAGTTTTATCATGTTTCATCAGCCTGAAATTTCCTACAATTTAAAAGGAAAACATATCTTAACAATAGGAGAGCGCTGACGCTGACACGGGACGAGTATAATCTAGAAATTTTTGAAGGAGAGAAAAGAGTATGACAATCAAGGAGGCCATAAACGCGCCCTACAATTGTAGGGACGACTGACGATACGGGCCTAAGTGTAAAATCCTAACTCAGTATCTTTTCTCCTCTGCAGATACATGTATACTTTTTTTTTGTTATTTTTGGATATACTTCCTATCCTTGAAATTTTTGCATGTCTTTCTGAAACATCCTATATAAAAACTTGGCAAGAAGAACTATGTAAAAAATAATCTACAGATTCTAATGTCTCTGCATTTCAGCCCAGAATTTCCACCATGCTGAAATGGACGGTGATGCCCCGACCGAAAGCTGCCGGCGACCAACGCCCTCTACCGGCCACCCCACGCAGTGCTGACAGACGCCAACAGAGACGCCGCTCGACGCCTTCCGGCAGGACAAGGCGAAGTCTGGACGCCCTGGAGGCTGACAAGGAGAACCAGTTCACTTCAACGCCTATCAAGGGCGAAGCTTTGGGAGGAGGTTTGAGAGATGTTAGTAATTTGACACCTACTGCTGTCAGGACGCAGGTAATTAAGTAATTGAAAAATGTCGGTTTCAGTCATCCAACTCGGTGCACTCCACATTGCATGGATAAATGAGGACTGATTTGGAGTGCATAGATTGCGCGGGGTTGTATGACCAATTTGTGTTTTTTAGTATTGTTCTATCATTTACGAAAGTACTTGCATACGTACTTACAACATAGCACACACCAAAAGAATTTTCGTTCCATCCATCTACACGAACACTACTAACCTTCTGCCATCTGTCAAAGGTTCATCTTACTTACGATTCTAAGCCCACCATTTCGTGCAATCATCACGTGGTTCACGATGTAACTTTTAACTTTTTTTTAAATAATTTTAATCCGTTTAAATTTGTTCTTGACATAGCAACATCCTCACATACTACTTTAAGTTAACATAACATTCATTTTGGACACTTGTTGCTATTCTTCTCAATGTTGCTCCTGATGATGATGGCAAAGACCATTGAAAGCTAGAGAGATTAATAAAGTATAAAGAGTCCTCTTTCCTAAAATTTTTGTCGAAGTACCCAACAAAAGGCGGAAGCTTTAATTTTTCACCTACATATATATATATATATATATATATATATATATATATATATATATGTACGCCCTCAGGGCGGTGCCAGCATGAGTCGTGGTCCCATTGAGAATCCGATTGAACCTTAAAATTTGTATATTTAGCATATGTGTAAAATTTTGGGGATTTTTAGGAATCCCCTTGAGAAAATTGGCTACACCTCGCTCTCCAAAAACTGTTGAGGGTAGGTACACTACACTACAAAATTATCTCTTGCCGACGATGGAGGAACTCTTTAGGAATATTTCTGAGGGCGCCCATGTGCTAGTCTGGCATTGGTGACCTAAAGTAAGACCTCGTCTTTCTGTGATCATCGTCGTGCGAGGTCCCAACTAAATTCTTTTGAGTTATATAGGGTTGTTTGGAAGTTATCTGAAAAATCTGGATTACAATCGCATTATTTAGAAAGTCCGCATCCCTGTAGGATAACTGAAAAAGCTGGACCACTAAAGTAAATACTATAGTGACACATGTAGACCTATACATGTTTATTTGTCTTTAAACTACTTACTAAATATTTTTTGTTATTCCAGCCTGCAGACGGCAAACGCCTCTCGTCGACGAAGAAATCCAAGGCCTCCAAAAAGCTTATCCACACACCTCCCAGTAGCCCTAGACATCGTCACAAAAAGAAAAAGGACTGCATCACAGCTCACTATTACGATTTCCTTAGCGCTGACAGTCTGGCCAGCAATTATTTTCGACCTCTGGAAACTGTCGATTCCCACATTGAAGGTATCCTGGATGATATCGGTTGCAGCTGTAAATCCAAACAAGTGGCAGATACGTACGCTCCAACTCTACCAACATTTACCTCTGAATATTCTCCTTGTGCTACTAGAACAACTCACTGTCTCGAAACTTTAAATAGAAATAGTAGCAAAAAGGTCCCAGTTATCGCCAAGATCCTGGATGAGGTACCTCCAACAACTAAACCTAGAATAGACCATGTTGAAGACTTTTTGCACCAGATATCATTCATTACGTCTCCCGAGTCCCCTTTCAACCAGAATAGAAATAAAGTAACACCTCTAGTCAAAAGAATTTTAGATTTTAAGTTTAGCAAGTGTGCAGAAGAACAAAACGATTCTTCCTATATTAACAATATGTCTTTGGACAAGATAGTCGATGCTATACTAGATAGCAGTGATGATAGCATAAGACCTACTGTAAGGAGAGCTCTAAATACTAGTTTGATCGTGAATGTAGAATCTGAAAATGAAAATGTCAGTAGAGAGGAGATTTTGATAAATGCAATGGAAGCTAAAAAAGTAGCAATGGATGGATCAGAAAACTCGTCAGATTCTGGCTTCAGGAGTTCTGCTACTGATAATCCTCATAGTTTGGATAATAACTTCCAATGCAAGTGTAACAATAATCACAAAGATTCTGTGACGGAAAAGACTATAATACAGTTGGATGAAACTTATAATGAACGATGTGTAGACGAGAATACAAGAAAGAGACCTGCGATTGGTGACTCAGAAGCAACTAGTCCAAAGCGGCTACATTTGGATCAGTCAAACAATGAACTGGAGTTTACTTTAAAAAGACAAAAGTGTATTAGGAGGAAGAGACCCCAAAGCATTGAGAAGTCAAATATTGCAAGAAACTGTTACTTGGAGACCAAGACTTTAGCATCCCTTGTGAAAAGATCTACAGATTCTTTTGACTCGGTATCGAAAGACGGATTTGTGGCAAAGAGCTCAGAGGTATTTAGGATATCGAGGCCTCAGACTTATCATAATGGACAAAGTCATCAGTCAAAGGTCAATGGCAACTGTTCAGAAAATGGTTTAACTGCCTTAAGTATACCAATGGTTGAGGAAGATTGTAATATTGGAAACAAAGGTACATCAACTAGTAGATGTTCAAAAGGATATCCCCGTAGTATTAGTGATTCAATCAAACTTTCAATAACTAGTGGAGAATCTATAGATGAAAATTGGATCTGGAAAGATAACCACGAGCAAAACAAAACTTGTATTGTGAAATCTGGAGACAACAGTAGTTCTGCACGACCTCAAAGCAACAATAAACACTCTTGTGGGGAAGCCTCTCAATCAAACTCGAGTACTCTCACGGAGTTGTCATGTAGTAGCTTTAAAAGTAAGAAACTACAAATCACTGACAACTCCAGTGTGGAGAAGGGATGTTATATGGAAACAAGAGGCCTACCAAGTAGCACCTTTACAGAAGAATCCTATTCTGATCATAGAAACATACGGAAGTGTTTGGTGTTTGATCTGTCGAACAATGATACGAGTTTATCGGAGATTTCCAGCAGGAGTGGAGTTGTTGACGTCAAGGGATGCGTGGAGTTGAAGATATATGGGGAAGAAGATGCAGTCTGCGTTGATGGTGAGTTTACGTAGCTTTTTTTTATATCGAAGCAGCCGCGCACGCAGAAGCCTAAATGCCGGAACACCGCGGCTGCTATGATGATCCCAAAGAAATTTTGTTGATACGATTTTTGAACTGCCTAAGTTTGGTAAAACTGGGAAAAGCTTCCTCTTGTAGACTGTTTCACAATTTCGATACCCTCGGGACAAAGGAGCAGTCGTATCGGCCAGTTCTGGATGCACGGAGTTCAACACGGTTAGGATGGGACGCCAAAGTCAGGCGGGTCTGTCTGGCAGGCACATCGCGTGGCGGCATCATGGAAGAGAGCTCTGAGGAGCAATGCCCGTTGGTGTAGCGATAGAAAAGAGTTAGATCGCCGACGGCCTGCCGATGCGAAAGAGTCCCGAGACTGTCTGTTAGAGAAGTGAGGTCATGCGGAGAAAAGTACTTCTTAGCCCTAAACAAATAGCCTAGCTTTTTCCCAGCAGCTGCAGCTATTGACGAGATGTGTTCGTGCTAGATCAGGTCCTCGGTGATCTGGACTCCGACCAGCCGAAATGAATGGCTCTTTGGCAGAACTCGGCCGTGCATCGAAACTGGATGAGCGCTAGGACGCTTTTTGTTCGTCAAAGTACAGTACTGTGTTTGGTAGCATTGAACTGTACAAGATTGTTGCGTCCCCAAGCAGTGATAGCCTCCAGGTCTCTTGTCAGAGAGGAAGTTGTCGCTAGTCTTCTTTTTTCCAGCTCAGCGGCAGAGATCGGCTTGTCACTCGGAATTCCTGCATGTAGAGCTAAATATGTATAATACTTTTCTTCCTACCGCTTCATTCTTATAAGTTTACAATGCCCCATCCAGCAGTGTGAGATTCTGTACCAATATTAGACCGGTTCATCTCGGTATTCTATCAAACTTCGTTAGAACTTCGCATTCACATAGAAAATGGAGGAAAAACTCTATTTCACATTTTTTGTATTTGAAATCTGTAATCACATAGGATTTGTTTGCTTTCCATCTCTGTGACCATAACCAACTGTGTAAAACGTTGTATCAGGCTTTTTCGCAATCATCAGGAAGGTATAGGTGTAGTCATCGGAGATGGAACGCAAAGACGCGGAATTGGTATAAGGCTTAAAAGCTCAGTGTTGTAGTCCTCGCACTGCCGCTACATGGCCATGGTAGCAGTAATGAAGCTATACGAATTTTCACTTGCTTATTCGAAGAAATAATTTTCCTATAATTTACGGATATGTTCCTACAATAGATTCCTAACAGTGTTTCCAGAATCAGCAACCAACTGAGATACTCATCTATCCAGTATTTTCCTAGGTTAGCTGTCATAAACCTTTTCTGTCCCAAATACATCAACATTTAGTGCTATTTACTTTACAATGTAATGTCGTTGCACGCAAATTTCACGGAGTACGCGCTCAGTTTATTACTAGAGCACGCGTCAGCTATATTTAACGAGAAAATCGATCGTGATGATGGCGAGGCTATTCACTGTGTCATGTGCTTTTATCAGGGTATGGAATGCAATTTCCACTCTCCACTCCAGGTACATTGTAATTCATCCACACAATGGACTCTCTTGTTTTGCCAACTAGCGAGGAAATATTATATTTACGAATATTATCGAAAATTAAGTGTTTTTTTGATGTTATATGTCATATACATCACGGAAAAATACACCATCCATGTCCATCGGTCTGTCTAACCATCTGGCCGCTAATCCTTGGCGTTGGTATAATTTGGAAATTACCGACCAGATTCCCCTCAAACTTCGTCTTTTTAGTTTCAAAAAAAAAAATAGTGTGGGCCCAAAGTTGGGGGTTGAAGAGTGCAGGAGTTGGGGGAGCTTATATCTCAACCCTTTGGCGTTAGTATATTTATACGCTTCCAGCCCTGCTAACGTTTTGCACCTCTCACCGGTCTCTTGATATACCTGCATTACGGTCTGACCGATGGGTGGCAGGCGAGTGACGAGGTCAGTGAAAGCGGCGTTGCCAGATCGGTATTTTTGGTAGGGCAGGGGAGAAGTTTCTAGATCGCAACGTTGTCAAATGAGTGGGTAATATGAATTAATAGCTATGTACTAGTAGTACGAGCCTGTTTGATTGATTTCATCAGTTTATTTTTTTGGTATGCACGTTCGTAAATAGATTTTGTTCTCAGAGAGGCTAATTTGTGCTGAATATGGTCCTTTTTGAACTGATGGTATTTAGTATCAGAGATAATAATGTAAAGAGGAACAGTCTGGTACATCAGTCATTATACCGACTACGAAGATCAGTAATAAAACCGATAACACATCAAGCATTAACACTTGGTATCGATAGCGATAGTACAATATTCGACCAGTCTGCTTCATAATCTTCACTTAACTTGACTATCTTTGTATTTTTTACTAGATCATTCCACATATCTTATTTTGATAAAAGACGTTGCTTATGAGACTGTTGTCTACTACTTACCACATGTTCTGCCCATCTTATACTTATAGATTTTATGAGTCACTATATTTCATTTCCCGAATAGATTCTCAAAGTTGTTGACGTATCTGCGCCTCCACCCGTTTGTGACGCTATCGAATTATTTCTTTTCTTATCAAAGCCCGTGTTTCGCTATAGCATATGACTTTATGCTCTTATAGATTTTGATTTTTGGACCTTTTGGGACCAGCTTCTATCTCATTAGATGTTGAACTATCACAAATGTGTAACCCTTACATGATGGAGAAGACAAATCCTCCAAAAAAATAAGAAAGTAAGTGTTCACTAGGGTGCCCCATTCCGTCTTAACCCTATGGGACAGAGCGGGCTCCCAAATGCCCAAAAATCAAAATGTACGAGTACCCTGCCCCCGGCTATTCAATATTCCCCAAAATCAGAAAAGAGACCCGGTTCTAGCTCTGCCCTGGGGCCCCTTCAGCCGCAGTCCCCGAGCTTGTTGTGGGCTCAGAAGCCACTACATACCTTGAGTTGGCCCTGGGGGTGCCTTTGGCCCGCTCAGCACTCACTTGAGTAAGCAGTTTCAGCTTTATTTTCTTTATGAAGGAGAAAAACCTTCACTAGTTAAGAAAATTTGTGCAAAATAGATGATAATTTCGAGAAAATTTTCAAAAAAGAAATAGTAACGTTGGGTGACACCTTTTAATGAAGGACTGGTGAATGTTTGCTCTATCTCAAGAACACTAATAGTGCGGAGGGTGAATTGAAAAAAAGGAGTCAAAAATAAATAACAGTGTATTGAGTAATTAAGAACCGTAAACAAAAATAACAACTACTATGTACATGTTCAGTTGCTGATAGCTATAGCCTTTTACAAACACTAAGCTTAGATTGTGAATAAAGAATCAAATTATGGTCTCAAGTAAGAACTAGATTATTGGAGGGTTTTTTAATGATTTATAACCTATTTTTTCCGAAAATCGGCGAGACAGCTCATGTTAGGGTTGTCTCTCTCTCTCTCTTCAGATCACTTGGGGGAGTACTTTCAACTAAGGAGTCCGAATTATGGCAAGTCTATCTCAACCCTGAGGTGTTCCATCATCGATGTTTGCATGAGAAGACCCACCTGTATTCAATATCGACCTCTAGTTCTACTTTGTTGGTGATTAAGGTTCTCAGATATTTGAACCCTTTAGTCACCTAAAAGTTATGGTTATTGATTGTCACATCCTGCCTTAGTCGTCGCCGTTTTTGTTTTGAGACTATGCATTTTATTTCTTTCACTGCTTTGTTTTGCTGTGGCCGGCAAGAATCCTAACCAGAAGAATGAGCAACTCGATTTTTGTTCAATATCCACAACGTAAAGGGCCACGCGGGTTTTTGGACTTAGGTAGAAAATAATTTTACTAGATTAACTTTACTGATAACAGCGTATTCATGTGGGGGTCAAGCCTAATACGTTTTTCCTGTAAAACAGCGATAGTATTTTTCTTGTTAAATCTGTACCTATCTGTATCTAACCAGTCAAAGAAAGTTGAATTTTATCCAGAAAGGATAAATATGGAAATACAATTGACTGGCAATCGTATTGAATTGTTTGTTTAAAACAAATATCTGAAAGCCATATTTGTGGATACGCTAATGGCTGACGGTCTTAGATTGAAAGAAATTTCTCAGATAATTTCCACTGCTAAATGCTTTTGAACGAAATCCTTAACTATTTTACGAGACACAGATGACGACTTTTTATTAATGACCCACGCAATGACAAGCTTAAAAACATCTTTTTTTTTCAGTTGTCAGGTGTACAGACCTGTTTCGGCCGAACGGTGAAAAAATAAACGCCTACGTCAAGGTAAGTCCTTAATTAGCGTCCATTTTTATAAATCTTTTGTCAGCCTTACTAATCGACCGTATGCCAGCCGGGGCTAATTCATCGAACATATGCTCTGATGGGTAATCTGTCAAGCTCTGCCCAGAGCAATTTCCGGAAATTTCTAAACGATTTTCAAGCATGCGACGTTGGGGGTGCGCTAATCGTGTGCATGTTTCATTGATTATGGATTTCGATAGAAAGTGTGTGCCGCATTGATTTCAAGGCCCATTTAACATATAGTAAAAAATGCCGCACAAACCAACGAATTAGAATATAGTAGATTAGAAGAAGCTGCTTACATTGAATTGTACTTGCGTACTTTTAGGGATTACTTTTGACTCATTTGTCCAAGAGTGCCTACCAAAGTGTCAGCGTAATAATAATACTGGCCGGTGGAAACATCTACCCTCATAAGGCTTCTGCTGTTCTTTGAAAAATGAGTAAGAAGTAACATGCGTGAAATTATCTAACATCATAATTAGCTGCAAACACTCGCACATTTAAAAAATAACACTCAAACGAATTTAATTGCAGAACTGTTAAAAAGTTGACGTATGTCAAGTGCACTTTGAGTGTCACGACAGACTATGAGAAGGAGAAAAACAAATGCTTTATTGGCCCCTTATATCTAGTCTGAATTAGTTGATATAAACGTCACCATGCTCAGGAAATTACAAAGCTTTTGATAATTGCACCATGCGTATTGAAATCGCAAAAAAATTGAAAATTGAGTTTCATGTTTACTGGATGATATATGATGTGTACATCACAAAAAACATCCCACTCATTTCCGTCGGTCGGTGTGTCTATCTATCCGTCAGTCTGTAAGTTGGAAAATTACTACTAGCTAAAGATATCACCAATGTTTTTAGTATCCCCTTGTACGTATATTCCTTCCGAGCCTATCACAACCGTTTTACAATCTAAGAACACCTGAACGTCTGACGCCCGTCATCCGTTCAACTCGCACATGTTCCAAATTCGAGAAAAGAAACACCGACGCCGCATTTTCACTCATTTGACAGGTGACAGTTACTGATCGTCAGTCGTCGGCAATTAGCGACGTGCCGACACGATACGCCGCTTGCAGTTGTAGTAGGCTTTGCCAACTAGCGTTCACTTGTCTTTAGAATTTCCTCTGCTTTTTTTCTGTTTGAAGTGAGACGAGTTGCGTGTGGTTGATGTTTTGATTTGTGTCAACGTGAGGAGCGCTTTTGAGATTCCCATAGCAGATATGTTGATGTTGGAAGTTGTTAAATGCGAAGTTTATTAGAAAGCGAAACAAAAATTGTGTCAAGTAGATTGACTCGGTACTTTTCTTACATTCACAAATGCTTATTTGTGTAGTTCACAACTGGACCAAATTTAGAAAACATTGTGAATTTAAAAACTGGGAATATTTTGAAATCTTGCCCCCTCCAAAGTTATTTTTCCTACATTCTAAAACTATTACAAGGTTGTAAAACGTACGCAAAGTTTTAGCAAAATATGAAACATTCAGAAAGCTCAAAAAACCTGTTTGACGCTATGAACTTTTCAAGAATCTCGATGATTTTGAAAATCATTTTGCTGTGTCTTATTGATTTCTATAATTGCACTTTTCAATAGGTTTGCGTGAGTGACCGGTTAGGGGCAAGAAAGAAGAATCCAGGACTTCAAAGAACTGCAGTCCATGCAGAATCTGCAAATCCCTACTTTAACCAAACATTCAAGTTTCCACTAGCTCAAGATGACTGTCAAAGGAGGGTGCATACAGAAGTTTGGCATAGGGATAGAGCTAACAGGTAAGCATAATAATAGAAAATTTTTTCTTAACTAAGGGAACTATATCAAGGGCGTCACACTTTATACTGGTAATATATCAGTATTTGTTTAGCTTAGATTTGTAGTGTCGATGGAAGATGTTCCAGATGTCCTCCAGCGTCCTCTTACATGAATGGTCTTCAAAATGTAGAGTTATACACTATCGATACCAAGAGTACCGGTGGTCGGAGTTTCTAAACGTTGTAAGCCATCAAGTACCTGTTTTAACATTTTTATATAAATCCTACTAGAACTGATGCAGAGTTATGTCCTATCGTACCATTTAATTGAATGGAATTCTAGTTTTTCTGAAAATTCTATCGGTGTCACAGACACGTTGCTCGGTTCCTATTGAGCTCTCTCAACTCTTACAATATAACAAATTGAAAGTTTCACAAACAAGTTCATTGCAATATGTCGAGATTACAACGTTTGTAGTGAACCTGGTAGTGTGACAAGTGTAAATCTGAAAATTAACCATGGCTTATAAATGAAACTACAGATGTTGCAGAATGAATTTACTGTCACTTCGGCTACATTTATTGGTCAAGTAAACGTGAAAATGGAATTTGTCTCTTAGGATTGAGTTAAATACGAGCCCCTTCCCACTCCAGTTGGCCCACTTCAAGATTTGTACCAAACTATGCATTTATAAACTAAACATGACGAAACTATTTACTTCTAAAACAATTTATTTTCTCAAACACATTCTAGATACACTAGTCGTAAAAAATACATATTTGAACTCACTTATACCTATAACTAATAGAACATCTGAACAAATAAACAATGTGCGAATAAATGCGCGAAGTTGACAAAGCAACAATTGAAAGATTACCATTGGGTAACATCACCTTTATTTTTTATTACAGCTGAAATTCTTTGGGGCAAAGTGTTAACCAAGTTTTGGCAAACATTTGGTGTAAAAGAATCTCATATTTCTTGGAGCTTTTGTCTCAGTTCGGTGATTGTACGAGCAGGATGTTGTCGTAGAACTTTTTTCATCTAGTGCCACAAAGTTTCAATAGGTGACAGATCTGGACTGCTAGAAACCCATTTCAAAAGTGGTGCATTATTTTCTTCCATCCATTTTATAGCCTTTTTTAAGGTATGGCACGCTGCACCATCTTGCTGAAACACAAAATCTTGGCCGGATGTCAAACATTCTTCCATCACTGGTAAAAGCGATTCTTCTAAAATTGCCAAATATTTGTTTGTATCATTTACATCAATAAAATGAAGGTTTCGTACTCCTTTTGATGACATACTGCCCCAGACCATAATGGATGCTGGAAATTTCACTTTTCTCTTCAGACAGTCAACACGGAATGATTAGTTTTTTTGTGAATAACTCTACTGCGACTGTCACCAACACAAACTTCGAATCGGGCCTCATCACTCCATTGTTGAGGTGTCCATTGTCTATGTTCTTTAGCCCATCTAAGCCGATTTTTCTTTTGCAGTGGAGTTACTAGTGGCCTTTCTTAGGCCTATAAACAAGTTGTGCAACTTTAGGGTTTTTACTTAACTTTTTCTTATAAGGAAACTTACCTTGCACATGCTAAATCCCAGTTTGTGGGCCTCTCTATGAGTTGTGGACCTCGAAATTCTCCTTCCAACAGCGTCACTCCACAGAGCACTGAATTGTAAATAATTGGCACGCCTGTTTTTCACGATTATTCTTCTTAATGCTCTTCGGTCGGCATTTGTGATATTCCTTTTTTTCACATATCGTGGCTTAATATTATCTGAACCAGTAGCGTTATATCTTCTAACAATATTTCTCACACTGTAAGGCGATAAGTCGAACAAAGTTGCAATTTCTGAGTTTGATTTCCCAGAATTAAAAAATTTAATTATCAGTAACCGAATTTTCTCACTAATAACCTTTCCTATAACCATTTTGAAAACCTTAACTACCCAAAACTATTTTAAACGTATTCCGACAGCTGTGGTTAATAAAAACAATTGTCATGGCTTTTATTTTTCACAGCCACCTATGCGTTATAGACTTATTTTGTGTTGAAATGAAAATAGGTTGATATGCTGTAATTGCAACATGTGTTATTTTTATGCTGCAAATTTGATTAGGGAGTGATAAAGTTGGTGTTTTCTACTATATATTATCAAAATATTCATTGTTAATTTTTTAAACCTATAACACCCTGCTACATTTTTATTATTTGTGTTTGATAAGAAAAAAACTAAGACTTCAATAGTTGGGCCAACTGAAGTGGGAAGGGGCTCGTATATCCAAGCTGATGATCAAGCATATTTCCATCTTTGTCCATCAGTTACTCCATCAAATGTTTAGTCATTAATAGAAAATTGCGCTCCAGTCTTTCTCGATGGCACATGCACTTGCTCAAGTATATGTAATAAATTTCGGGAAACTCCATTGTAGTTTCTCATTCAGGCCAGGCCTGTCATCTCGTAATTTATTATCTATCCACTCTCTTCTGGACGCCTGGCCTATTTTTATCAGCTATTTAATCTTCTTGACGTTTAAGTAGGACCTAGGCCTACTATCTTGCCAGTAACCTCGGAATTCTTAGCAAAATATTTAACGACCCCGGTTTGCGCAAGTCAGTGGCGGGTAACGTGATGCTTCTTCCCTATGCGGAAAAGATCCAGATAACGTAAAATAAAAATAATTCGTTTCTCAACATCTAGAGTTTCGATCTTCAGTTTTCTTCATATTATTTATGAATTATCCAACCGAAATGCAGCAATAGAAATGCTTTTGGTTAATAAAACAGTAATAATAATATTTCGTGCTTTATGGAAACTCATCAGCATGGTTTAGGGCTGGTCCCAGTTATAATATACAATATATACAATACAATATGTTACAAAGTGATGGCGATATATACAGAGGTTTTATATATTACACTACAATAAGACACATATAGTTTTTCTTATGTGGTACCTAGATAACTTAATATCCGTATGCAGAAATCTTAAATAATGTGTAATGTGTCATTTTAATAATAAAATAGTAAAATAAATAAAACAAAATAAATCCAGGTCAAATAATTATTTGACAATCTATATAATTATAATGTCATGGCAATTACTTTGTAGCCACTTGAACAAGGAAAAAAATCAACCAACTCAGAATTCAAATTCCTAAAAGGAAACAAAAGAAAAATGATCAAAACATTTGCATATTTAGCCAGCAAAAAACTATAAACCTTTTAAGGTTTGCCACAACAAATGATCTACACTCTAAACTAAACAATTTTAATTTATTTATCATCCTCAGTGTCCTAGGCAAGATGTTGTAGATTTTCGGACCAATATAGTCACTTGATCTTAAGTTTATTTTTGTGAAACTATTGGGGTATTATTAGATTTCGATCAGCATTGCTTCTGCTTGAATAAGGATGACTAACGTATTCTCTTATTAAAGGATTTTTATACATAAAGGAGCAGACTTATATACAATGGTCTTACAGCAAGTATTTTTTCACTATAAAGATGACAAGTAATATATCTTTTGTTTTTTATAAAAATTATTTTTAATATGTAATTCTGTATAGTTTTTAAAGGTTTTAATGCTGACTCATATAAAGTTTACTTCTGGGATTTTTCTTATTGTTTTGTTATTGAATCTCAAATTCCCAGATATTTTACTTCGCCATCTCAAGATCAGATTGTTCGTTATCTTTACATGTGCAGTACTATTTCTTGCACTTGAGATCCATGAACAATGCACATGCAGCATTAGTAGTCAAATATTGCATAACAGTTGACCGGTATGTTGCGTCATTGGCGATATTGGGCTTTTCTGGTTTCATGGGGTGCTATCTTAAAACTGTAATGATATCGGCATGCTACAGAAATTTTTTTATCTATTGTCGCAGCACACTGTATAGGAATGTAAAAAAGGAGAAAAAATGAATGAACTGTTACCTGGAAGACAGATAAACAGAAATATACTGTCATTGATTGTCACTCTACTTGAAAAAGGCTACAGTCGCCATATAAAAGAGGGAAACAAAACATATACCTGTATGTGGTTTGATTGACCTCAGACAAGTTGCTATTCCACCCTCGCAAATGTCGATTCTGGAAATAATGGCACTTTTTGTTGTCTTTGTCCTGTTCTGTTTTTTCTTCTCTCATCCTGCCATTATCAACTGTTGCCACATACTCTGCTTTTAAGTCTCATGTGATCTCTCGGAAGCTAGGTACAACTATTTTGTAAAGATGGTACATTCAAGGTAATATTTATTTTGTCTTGCATTCTTTCGCTGGGCAGATCGCAGATGATCGCTTGAAGCATTTTCCAACCCTGTTTTCCCCGCCGCTGTTTCCACGATTGCGCACTACCCCTCCCAGTCGAGCGATCGATCTCGTCATATTCGCGACTTAGCTTTCCCCGAGAAAGTCTGGAGCTCCGGGAAACGAAATCCGACATTTTCGCACGAGTATTTCCCACCGGATCGAAACTGTGGGAAATTCGGTACCGAACTAATCCCGCAAACCCGCAAACCAAAGGTATTCCTTTATCGAAATTGTGGTGGTTGTGAGGACTATTGTGATACGTTCCGTGAGCCAGGTCAATTACCATGAAGCTAGGTTGTGATTATATAAACGGTAGGGTGTTATTTTATCTAATTATAGCGTTTAGCACTTTTTTCTATACCATTAATTTTGTTAAAAGTTGTTTTATATATTGGCGTTTTTCAAATTTCAAACGTTCGTTCTTATGAAAACTGGATATTCGATTTTAAAGTTAATTATATTCAAAAATGATACCCATGATAATCGACTCAAGTAGATTAACTCCGTACTTTTCCTGCATGGACATAAATCCGTTTTCAAACTAGTCTTTGTATTGAGTAAAAATGATCTCGGGTATTTGGAGGATCTAAGCGCGAGCTTTTGAAAATTTTACACCTCTATAAATTGCTTAGGATTATTCGTAAATTATAGAGCATCAAACAATTTTATTTACTGATTTATTTATTGACTT